GCGCGCGGACCGGGTCCACGGGAGTGGGGCCCACGCGGCAGCCTCACGGTCCACGGTGGACCGGGTGCACCCGGGCTCACACCGGCCGGTGCCGTGGGCCCCACGCGTCAGCCGCACCCGAGGGCGCGGGCGGCTGACGGCCGGGCCCCACGCGGCAGCCGCTCGGTGCGCCCGAAGGCGGCCACGGCGGCGCGGCCGGCGGGAGGCGGCGCGCCCGCGCCCCTATGGTCGCCGGCGGCGGCCATAGGCACGGCGGAGTGGCGGCCGAGAGAAGGGAGGGAAAGGGGGGAAACGATGCGGCGGTCCACTGCTCACCCTAGGTCGACGGCGACGACGAAAAGGCGGCCGGAGCGGAGGAAGGCGGCGGCGCGGCTCGGGTCGACGGGGACGGCGGCGCTCCGGCGGTCGACGAGCGAAACGGAGGGGTGGATGAGGTCGGCGAGGATGCGGCGAAGCCGAAGGAGGCGGCGCCGAGGTGGGAGGTGGTCCGGGGCGACGACGGCGGCGGACCGGAACTCGGCGGCGACGGCGGAGAGAGAGAGCGACGGCGCGAGCTCGATTCCGGCCAGGAGAAAGGGCGGTGAGAGGCGGAAACGAACGGAGGAGGTGCGGGGAGGGTTTAAATAGAGGTGGAAGGGGGAGAGGGCGGCCGGAGGGGAAGGAAACCGGCGCGGCGCTCTCGGGCTCCATCAATGGTGCCGGCGAGATTTGCGGGGGCAAATCCGCCCGTTTGAACGCGAGAGAGGGAGGGGAAAATGGGGGGAAAGGGAGAGGGAATCACGGGGAATAATTCCCCCCTATTGATTGCACACGGGGAGGACGGGGGCGGCGGGATTCGCGGCGGCGGTGGCGCTAGGGCGCGGGCGAGGCAGCGGGAGCGGCCGGAGGAAGGGGATGACGGGTGGGCCCCACCCGTCAGCGAGGGTGGCGGGCGGGCCCGCCCGTCAGCGGCGCGCGCACGGGGAGAGGCCGGATGGGCCGCGGGGAGAGGAGAGGGAGGGGGAGGGAGATGGGCCGAGCCGGCCCGAGAGGGAGAGGGAGGGAAAGGGGACTTTTTAGAGTTTTTTTTTATAAAACCTTTTCAACTTTGTTTATTTCTTAATAATTATTATTTGTACTCTGAAAATTCCACTAAAATTTATTTACGCATTTTAGGCTTTTAGGAAATATACAAAAACCCTCTAAGCCTTGTTTGACTTTTAACTTTGCACATTTTAATTGTTGGAGGCTTTCACACGGATTTTAATTATTCTAGGCACCATTTAGAGGATATATTTTAGGGTCGTTTTGGGACGTGACAAAATTTTAGCAAAGTTTGTCGTTAGGTTTGATATTAAGATTTTGGCAAAGTTAATTTTTGTCTAGTCTTGCCAAAATATTTTTGTTGCCATGTAATAAACCAAATATTTTTATGATTATTTTAGGTATTGAACCAAACACCCCTATAAATATCCTTCTGATATACGACAACCATTGCTTTTCAGAGGGTTGTATTATACTGCAGTATTTGAAAGCCGTCTGAACATGAGCTGCAGTGCCGCCACGAAGTTTCTAGATAGAAAGGTGGTACAATGACGAGGTGTTCTAAACTTCTAATATATCTTATCCATCTAGAAAGTTCATAACCTTGTTTCTCTCAAAGGGAATCACTCTACGTGTTTCTAGTCTAGTTTCTTGTCAAAAAGAATTGAAAATTGCAGTAGTGTATAGCAGAGAAGTCTTCTCCTCAGTCCTCCAACCTAAGAAAAAAAAATCTGCATGCCCAATACAGCAAGCGTCAATACATGTTACGACCGCTTCCTCTGTCCCAAGTGATAAAACAACTTTGTACCAATTCTCAAAATAATTTTTCACCTAAACTACTTATTATTCGATTTATAATATAATAATGCCATTGTATTCATTATAATTACTGCTGCGCATGCACTCTCTGCATGTTGCCCCCAAGCGCTACAACTATAGCGTGCAGTATTCCTTCTCTCCCTTCTGTCTATATATTGTCCCTATATATAACCACCTCTTTGATAAATTTCAAACTATTTTTTCTCTTAAATTACTTATGTAATCTAAGATCCGTTTGCTCCATTAAATTTATTGTAATTAAACAAAACCACACATGGTTATATTCTGATAAAGAATAAATTTAGCTTTTCTTAATGTATTATTTTAAGTGTTGCAAATGATTTTATTTATATGTTTCAGCAAGTATTTTATGATGTTTCAACAGTTAGAACCTAATGTTTCATACATGATTAACAATGTTTCTCAATAATATAAAGTGCTACAAATATATTGCATGTTTCAAATGTTTTTTTTGAATGTTTCATTATTGGGACTCAATGCTATATAGTGGATTAATGTTTCATATAGTAGTTCATGATATTGCAGTCAATATTTTTAAATGTTGCGTCTCTCTAAAGTATTTTATAAAGTGAAATAAAAATATTTTTATCAAATGATGAAACAACTTTCTAAACGTGGTTAAACAATGCCTAATTATTTAGACATATTTTTTATCCAAAATATAGTCACGCGAGATCTTTTATAAATATTTAACTATAATAAATACATTCAATAATTTAAGAGAAAAAATAATTTAAAGTTTGTAAAAAAGTGTTTAGGAAGAGATAGTGAGAGATGCTTTGGTGCATGCATGCAATGTGTAGACGCGTGACATAGAGAGACTAATATGTTAGAGCTCTACATACCTAGTAGGAAAAGTGGGAAGGAGAGAAGTTTCCATTTCTCCAAAATATCGTAAGCGCCTGATTGCTAGTCGCTTGGGAAGAAAAAAAAACAACCGGGGTAGTATGTGCTAATAATTAGTATGGTGCTAATACTGCAGCAGCTTTTGATTTTTTTTTCCCTTCCATCGGACATGGGACGCTCCCTCTTACACATAGTCCTCTCCGGATACATCCATGTACCGTAGTGCTCGTTGGACATTAGATATACACTTTCTTAGTATGCATTTAATCGTTTGACCAAAGTAACAAATATATATATATGTCGACGTTTGATGTCGCGATTCCGGTATTTGCATAGTATGTGGATCGTTGGTACTAGTATATATGCGAGATTATAATAAAAGAGATGGGGACGAGGATTTTTATACAGGTTCGGGCCCCTGAATTGTCAGGTAATAACCCTACTCCTGTTGGCCGAAGCCGGTCGTTGCTCTTATTCACCATAATCATACCAATACAATATTTGGGGTAGCCTATCTAACTGTTGTCGACTTGGCGGTCTGAAGTGTTGACTCGTAGTCGACAACAGGGTAGCCTTCCTCCTCGAATCCGCATCCGGCGAGATTAAAGAAAGCGCTATGTCTCTCCTGACAGTATCCGTAGACACCGGAGGGGACTAGCCATGCTTATCTCTGAATTCGATATCCGGCGTCTTGTTTTGGCGCATGTTGGCTTGTATGTTGATCTTGTGTCTTGATCTATTGTTCCGTCCCCCCTCTCCTCCTAGGGGTCTTGTATTTATACCCATAGGTGTTCCCTTTTCCAAGTAGAATTAGGGAAACCAATATGGATACAATCCGAATAATATTTGTCGTTTTCATGTAGAACTCTATTTATCTTTCCTTATCTGGAACCTCTTCTATACCCAAAGGTTATTTCTGTATAAGACATGGTATGTGGTGGGTCTTGCCGAGATTTAGTCAACTAATATTAGTTAAGTGGTATAATAATTATATATATATATATATATATATATATATATATATATATATATATATATATATATATATATATATATTTATTTATTTATTTATTTATCACTAGTGCAAACTCTAATTTTCAATCAATAGTAGGAAATTGAGCATTGCCCTGATACCACCAAATTAGAGTTAAGTTGCTACTGAATTTATCACCACTTCATTTTGATTTCTTAGAAAACAAATTTAATGTAAAATTTTTAGTACATGAAAATTAATTATAAAGCTCAGAGTCCAATGGTTAGCTTAGGAATTGCCTCGAAATTTTTTTCCTGTCCTATCCCTCGAAAAAACAACTTAGGCTGTGTTCAACAAATGTGGTGGTTTCCAATCATCTATGCATGTAAAAGGGATCGATTTATTAACACATAATTAATTAAGTATTAGAAAAAAAACACTTAAAATTCTAGCAGTATTATTTTTAAACAACTTTTGTATATAAATTGTTTGCAAAAAAGCATACTATTTAGTTCGAGAAATGTATGTGCAGAATCCGAGAGAGTAGAAATTGAGAAAACGTAGAATCAAACTCAGCCTTAAGAGTGGCCAAGGCTATGGAACGAGGTGAACCATTAGCGTACGAATAATCGAGTATTAATTATTATAAATTTAAATAGTTAATTTATATGATTTTAAAGCAATTTTTCTATAGAATTTTTTTAAAAAACACACCATTTACCAGTTTAGGAAGCATGAGCGTGAAAAATTGTATACTTTTCCTCTTCTGCTTGGAGCGAACATCACCAAGGCGTTGACCAACGTCACTCGATTCTACTTTCTCCATCCCAAAATGCCAGTATTTGGTGGACACGTGTATTAATAAAGTACTAAAAGATGGTTGTAGAAATATTATGATTGATTGAGGAAAAAAATAAAAAAAATAAATGAAGAATGGTTATGATTGGTCAATAGAAGATGATAGATGCAGAAATTGAGATAAGTCACTATCCTAAAAATATCTATATTTGGGACGGAGGTAGTACTAATAATCCGGTAAACCTAGAGGAATTTAAAAATATGTCGTAGGTGTCGTGAAATAATAAGAAAAAGCAGCACGAAAACACTTTCTGAAAGCACTCCCGGCCAATTGCAGTGAGGTCAGGAAGCCATACATGATCCGTCCGTTTCCAAGCTGGGAAAAGTCGAGCAACTTCTGGAAGTTCTTCTCCTTCCATTGCATGGAACTGGAAACGCTGCCCATACGCTTCTTTTCCTTATCGCGTTGGCCATATCATACACACGCCTCACTCACAAACTCCACTATAAATAGGCCTCCCTCCCCCACGTATCGATCATGCCCTCAGCAAGATCAAGTGCACGTTCGATCTCGACGTCGCCTTGATCGATCGATGCGGTCGCCGGCAATGGCGGCGCTCTTCGAGGCCGCGGAGACGGCGGCCATCGTGGCTGCGCTGACGCGCGTCATTGCCGACGGCGGGCGTGGAGGCAGCGGCGCCGGCGTGCCGCCGCCCGCGCCATCGTTGGTGGTGCCGCCGCTGGCGGGAACGGGCGGCGGGCGGCGCGTCGACGTTGCGCGGGAGGAGGAGATGGTCGGCGTCGTCTCCGGTACCTCTGTTTGTTGCTCCATCCTGTGCTGCTCGACCCGGAACGGATGATGATGATGTGTTGTGTTGTGTTGTGTGCTGCGATGTTTTAATTTACAGCGGGAGATCACACCGGCGAGGCAAGCGTGGCCGCGGCGGGGGTGGTGGTGGCGGCGCCGGCGACAGCGCGCAGGTACCGCGGGGTGAGGCGGCGGCCGTGGGGCAAGTGGGCGGCGGAGATCAGGGACCCGAGGAAGGCGGCGCGCGTCTGGCTGGGCACCTTCCGCACCACCGAGGACGCGGCGCGCGCCTACGACGCCGCCGTGCTCCGCTTCCGCGGGCGCCGCGCCAAGCTCAACTTCCCCGAGGAGGCGTCCCGCCCGCGCCGCCCGTGGAAGGGTCACGACGTCGATCACATGTCCTGCTCGCCACCATCGATCGCGAACGCTCGCTTTCTGGGTTCGTGGATCTTCGGACCTCCGCCGCCGTCGCGGTCCGTCGCGGCGGCGACAACGACTCTGCTTGGTGGGAGCCATGGAAGCAACGGAGCAGATAATGGGAGGGAATAGCGGGACAAAAAGGGCGGGAGAGATGGGAATCGTCGTCCCGGGTACTCTCTAGTCCACATAACTAGACTAGATTAGCATTTCGTTTTGTTTCGACGTATTTATTTTGTTTTAAGATGTTGGTGTAGCTTTTTTTTCTTCTTCTTTTCGTTCTTCTTGGATAATGCTGCTGCATTTTGTTTGATATTATCGGTAGCACTGTTTGGTGATGTTTTAATATATTTCTAAATAAAAGTTCCTTGTGTTTCTCTGTACATTTATGCTCATGTCGTCTAAATCTTCATTCTGTTTAGGTTTTTCTTGAACCGGATAGTTTCATAAATTTAGGCCATCATCACTAAATAATAAGGCAATTCTTTAGAGAAGAGTACATTATTCCCTAATTTTTATCCACGTGGATGGCTGACTTGGCTATGCTATGATGACGCCCATGTGTTAGATGAAACCTATATGACAGTCACATATAAGCAATTTAAAATTAAATGTTTAATTGTAAGAAATACACTGGTGTAATCGGATCGTTGATAGGATAAATGATTTAATATAGAAAAATAATTAATTAGTACATACGTACATTGTTAATATACCGAGCATCATGCATTAGCACTGTACAAAGCAGCTAGGTCACCCGTAGCAGCTAGGAGTGTGTGGAGAGAGCACCCAATATCTTTTCGTTCGGATCGGGCGTTCGATCAGAAGTATTCTCCAATGTACTAGCATATTTTTAACAATATATCTCGATCGGGTGATCCTTAGAAAAATGTGCATGTATATGTCCAGATACAATCAAGCATTGCTTTCTAAATGTGCATATATATGTCCAGATACAATCAAGCATTGCTACTGCTTAGTTTGATGAGGATAACCGATAACACAAACGTCTTTACATCTAACAAAAAACCAAACCAAGAATACGTGGAACCTATAATAAATACAAGGAATAGTGTGTTGTCATCGAGGAAGACGACAGTAATGAACTTTCTGGATGTTTCACAAGAGGTTGTTGATGTATATTTTCTTTCTAGAAATTCAGTCGTGACGACACTGCAGTGTACTGCTCGAGTATGGACCTAGATTGTAGCCATTCTTAACTTTATTGGCAAGTTAAAAATTTTATAATGTGAAAATTTTAGCAAAGTTTGTTGTTTGGTTTGATATTAAGATTTTGGCCAGTCACATATAAACAATTTAAAATTAAATGTTTAATTGTAAGGAATACACTGGTGTAATCGGATCGTTGATAGGATAAATGATTTAATATAGAAAAATGATTAATTAGTACATACGTACATTGTTAATATACCGAGCATCATACATTAGCACTATACAAAGCGGCCAGGTCACCCGTAGCAGCTGGGAGTGTGGGGGAGAGCACCCAATATCTTTTCGTTCGGATCGGACGTTCCATCAGAAGTATTCTCCAATATACTAGCATATTTTTAGCAATATATCTTGATCGGGTGATCCTTAAAAAAATGTGCCTATATATGTCCAGATACAATGAAGAATTGCTACTGCTTAGTTTGTGAGGATAACCAATAACACAAACGTCTTTACATCTAACAAAAAAAACCAAACCAATAATACGTGGAACCTATAATAAATACAAGGAATGGTGTGTTCTCATCGAGGAAGATGACAGCAATGAACTTTCTGGATGCTCCACAAGAGGTGGTTGATTTATATTTTCTTTCTAGAAATTCAGTCGTGACGACAGTGCAGTGTACTACTCGAGTATGGACCTAGATTGTAGCCATTCTTAACTTTATTGGCAAGTTAAAAATTTTATAATGTGAAAATTTTAGCAAAGTTTGTCGTTTGGTTTGATATTAAGATTTTGGCCAAGTTAATTTTTGTCTAGTCTCGCCAAAATATTTTGTTTTTCCATGCAATAAACCAAACATTTTTATGATTGTTTTAGGTATTGAACCAAACACCCCCTATATATATATCCTTCTGATATACGACAACCATTGCTTTTTAGAGGGTAGTATCATGCTGCAGTAGTTAAAAGCCATCTGAACATGAGCGGCAGCGCCGCCACGAAGTTTCTCGATGGAAAGATAATACCATAACGAGGAGTTCTAATATCTTTGCCATCTAGAAAGTTCGTAATCTTATTTCTCTCAAAGGGAATCACTCAACGTGTTGCTAGTCTAGTTTCTTGTCAAAGACAAAAGAAAATTGCAGTAGTGTATACTGTATAGCGGAGAAGTCTTCTCCTCAGACCTCCAGCTTGAGGTAAAAAAATCCGAATGCCCAATACAGCAAGCATCAATACATGTTAGGAATGCTTCCTCTCTCCCAAGTGATAAAAAAACTTTGTTCCAATTTTCAAAATAATATTTTACCTAAACTACTTATTCGATTTATGATATAATTATGCCGTTGTATTCGTTATAATTACTGCTGCATACATTCTCTGCATGTTGCCCCCTAGCACTACAATTGTACAGTGTGCAATATTCCCGGAAATACTTACCATTGGCCGTTCGGCTAGGAATAAAAAATCGGACGTCTCAATCTAAAAGAACAACAGTGTAGGTGCATGGTGAAATAATTGGTTAGGTGTACTGACAAGCCAACGGAGCATGCATGCAAACATGTTTCAAAATTTAAATGATTTTTTCTCTTAAACTATTTATCCGAATTTCAAACTAATTATATCATTGGATTCGTTACAATTAAATCTTTATAACAAGATATCACATGACTACATTCCGATGACTTTTTATTTTACTTTTTAAATGTTGCACACATTGTTACTGAAATGTTCCAACAAGACTTTGTTGATATTTCACTAATGCATTAGCAATATTTCATGCTATCTTTTTTTATATGTTTCAGCAAATACATTTTTTATGTTTCAACAATAATTATAATTCGATGTTTCAATCTAAATATAAAAAAATGTTTCACTAGTCGGGACTTAATATTTCAAGTAATAATGATTATTGTTGCAGTCAATACTTTTTATATGTTGTACCTCTTTGGAATAATTTGTGAAGTGGGTTGAAACATCTCCACAAGTGATGAAAGAATTATTTTTAAATAGTTCAACATAAGTTTGTTTTTTCTAGAGCACATATATATTTTTATCAAAATATATTCATGTGAGATCTTGTTATAAATTATAGATTGGATATATATTTTAGATTAAAATTTTGTTTAAAGTTTGATTAAGAGAGAGAGAAAGTAATGGTGCCTCAGGCCACCTTGGCAACCAGCTCTACTCCTGCATGCATGCGTGCGACAACCTCGCTTCTCCAACGCGTCCCTGCATACAGACGAGGAGCAGCTTCGATATTTGAAAAAAATATTGTACGTACGATTTGTAGCGTCCGATTTAAAAATATTTCAACATAATTAAGTATTTGTGCAAAAATTTAATGGTATAATTGAAATTTAGATCAGATATATAATTTTGGAGAAAAATATTTAAAATTTGAGGAAAAATTAGGCACGTGTATTAGGAGGGAGAGGGAGAGAGAGTATGCAAGCAGCAGCGCAAGCAACACATGCAGTGCAGGCAAGCAACGCGGCACGGGAGCAACGTGGGCGAGCGGCAGTGCGGGGGCGAGCGTTGACCAATAAGTGAAACATTAAGTTATATATGGTGAAAAAAAATCAGCAATTGAAACATTTAAATATTTTATGAAACATGGTGAAGATACACGTTGAAACATGTCGCTGTCACATATAAAACAACAAGTATTAACGGATTAAAACATATATTTTTCTTTTATCAAAATATAATCATGCGATATCTTGTTGTAAAGATTTAATTACAACGAATACAATGGTGTGGTCGGATCATTGATCGAATAAGTAATTTAAAAGAAAAATCATTTTGAAGCTTGCTAAAATACATGCATGTATGCATGCATGAGGTGGAGAGAGAGTAGTAGCAGGTAGTTTCAGGATTTTTGTGAAACACACCGAAGACACATATTGAAACATATCACTATCACGTATGAAACATTTTATTCTAACGGTTTGAAACACATGTTTTTCTTTTGACGTAATATAATCATGTGGTATCTTATTGTAAAGATTTAATTTCAACGAATACAACGGTGTTATCGGATCGTAGATCGGATAAGTAATTTAAGAGAAAAAAATATTTAAAGAGAGGAGGAAAGAATGAAAAGAAACAGCTAGGCACATACGTTACAGTGACAGGGTTCGTTCTCACATGCGCTCGTTGCCTGGCTAGACGTTCGATTTTTGGTGTGATGCCGGACGTCCGAGCCGTAGAGCTCTCCCAATATTCCTTCTCTCCCTTCATATTCCCCCCATATATATATAACCACCTTTTTGATAAATTTCAAACTATTTTTTCTCTTAACTTACTTCTATAATCTAAGATCCGTTTGGTCCATTAAATTTGTTGTAATTAAATCTTTGAAACAAGACCACACATGGTTATATTTTGATAAAAAAATATTTAGCTTTTCTTAATGTATTATTTTAAGTGTTGCATATGGTTTTATTTGGATGTTTCAGCAAGTATTTTATGGTGTTTCAATAGTTAGAATCTAATGTTTTCATACATGATGTAAAAATGTTTCACTATATTATCAAGTGTTACAAATATATTGTATGTTTTAGATATTATTTTTCCGATTGTTTCATTGTTGGGACTCAATGTTTTAATGTTTTATATAGTGGCTAAATGTTTCATATAGTAGTTATTGGTCTTGCAGTCAATATTTGAAATGCTGCATCTCTCTAAAATATTTTGTAAAGTGAAATAAAATATTTTTATCAAGTGATGGAACAACTTTCTAATCGTAGTTAAACAACGCCTAATTATTTAGACATATTTTTTCATCCAAAATATAATCATGTGAGATATAAATATTTAATTATAATAATTATAATAGTGTAATAATTAATTTATGGTATGTTCAATGGTTTAAGAGAAAAATAGTTTAAAGCTTATAAAAGAATGTTTAATTAGGAAGAGATAGGGAGAGATACTTTGGTGCATGCATGCAATGTGCAGATGCGTGACGTAGGGAGACTAATATGTTAGAGCTATGCATACCTAGTAGGGAAAGTGGGTAGGAGTGGAGTGTCTATTTTTTAAAATCTACCAAGCGCCCAATTCCTAGTCGCTCGGAAAGAAAAAAAAAACCTAAGCATGTGCTAATAATTATGTGCTAACGTTTGATAACTCATACAGCCATGTACAATAGTGCTCGTTGGACCTTTGACATACACAAGTATGGCTTTAAGCATTGCCTACCACCGA